GCAGGAATCTGACATTAGGCTAGAACAAATAAGTAATTTCAGGTAGGAATCTAAATCTTAGACTAGAACAAAAAAGTAATCTCAGGCAGGAACCTAAATATTAGGCTAGAACAAATAAGTAATTTAAGACAGGAATCTAGATTTTAGGCTAGAACAAGGAAGTAGGCTTCAGACATGAAAATGACCTTGGACTAGGACAGGGAAGTAGGCTTAGATACTTTGGTCATCCTGATGAGCCCTTAGAAACAGTGATCATGGAAGGGTTCACATAATTGGATTTAATGCCTTGCTTTTTCTTTGATTATTTGTGTTAATTGTATTGCTTGTTCCTTGATTATTTGCATCTATTGTATTGCTAGACCCTCAACCTAGAGCTGACCTTAATACATGCATGTAATCAAAATGGTATAAAAGCATAAAGGAGGAGGGGGAATGGGATAGGGGGCTCTAGGGAGGGGAACTGAGGAAAGGGAATGACATCTGTATTGTAAGTAAATAAATTATCCAATTAAAAAAAAAGAAAAAAAAAGAAAATTAGTCTTCTTCCTACCTCAATGACTGATCTTTCCTGCTCCACCCTGCCTGCCCAGCAATCCTGAAAAGATCATTTTAAAATTAAGACAAATATTATCCATCTTTATAGTTTTCCTCCATGAGAAAATGTTTTCACTAACGATCTTTCTCTCCATATACCACAGAGCTTTTTGCAATCTGGGTTGCTTGTGACTGGAATGAACTGACCGAGTGACGGCCTGCTGCCACGGTGTGAAAAGTTGAATGAAGCCAGGTCTAGTGAATAGGCTCCATTAGACACACAGAGAATCATCACTTTTGTCCCTTCCTCTGCTACTAATTCTACTAGAAGAAAAAAAAAAGTCCTGGCAACACAACAGGACCTCCCCCTTACTGTCACTTCTCATGACACAACAAAATAGGTGTTCATATGTCCAATGGAGGGAGGCAAAGGGACAATTTTTTTTCTCTCTTTCCTTAGGTAAAAGAATGGGCTTACCTCTAGTAAGCACTATTGTGTAGTCTAAATTAATTAAATAGGGAAAGGGTTGCACTGTCTTTGAATATACGGAAACCCTGGCAGATATTACATTTATTACAGTGACAGATAATTTCATCACTTCTCCTTATGAATAGTTTATGAATACAGCCTAGCTTCTGATAGATATACAGATGTTTTGTGAACCTTCAAAGTGGAAGATGAGCCAAACCCACCCACAAAACCCTCCTCCATCTTTCTGAAACAGAACCAGGTCTGCCAAACTGACAGAGACTATTTAAAAATAACAAAAATTCCTTTAAAAAAAGTTTTTGTTAGAAGATAGGATTAACCAATTAGGTATGTTTCTCCAAACACAAAACAAGTCATATCTTCCCAAACTGTGTGTCTTGCCTAGTTGCAGTGTGAAATGTCAGTTATTAAAAGGCAACGTAATAAAGCACACACAATAATGGAAATGCTTGAAGTAATGCAATATGTTAGCAACTTTATTGGGGTTTTTCTTTGATATCTGGGCCTCTGTATCCATTGTTAACATGAAAATTCAAGAGCTAATCTTCCTCTTATAGATTCACAGAAATGAATAGAATTGATTTAAAATTTCAAGTACTTCTAAAAAGAAATCTCAACAGCGTTTATATTGAGCACACTTGTTACTTTGATGTTTTCCCATTAAGAGTCTATTTTCTCAGTAGAACTCAATAAATGTCTTTGTTAAAATAAGTCCTTTTAAAAGACAGGATATCATTATGTGCCCTAGAGTGGCCTCAAATCGGCAATCCTTCTGCCAGAGCAGCTTCGGTACTTGGATTACAGTTGTGTGCCACCACTGTTGGTGAAAATGTTTCTCACTTTGGGTGTGTTTAGTTCTTACAATGATATCTGCTTTAAGTAAAATATTTAATGTATAACAGTGATCAATTTTATGCATATTCTTACCTTGTGATATCATCTACTCTTCATCTTAGTGTATTAGTTTCACACTTTTAAGTTGTGGGTAATTTTAGCTTATAAGATGAACTTCCTTTCAGAGCACTGATTAAATATAAAGGCATTATATTTAAATGTAAAAGAAGGCTGATTGTCAGTTATTTATCTTGATCTTAATTTGTTAGGTACCATATACTAAACAAGCAACATGAGTCTTTTGCAAACAATGTCTGCCTTGGATACAGTTGTCTGTGCACCTCTAACAGTCAAGGAAAGGACAGTCCAGACAATATCTAAATCACTGAGGCCAGTAGACTGAGACACAATCAAACTACTGTTAAAAAAACTGAGGAGTCCAGCATCCATTCATTCAAATATAAATGCTCAAAAGCTGTATATCTTGGGTAGTTACTGAATCTATTTAGGCTTCAGTTTTATTGCCTTCATCTATAAAAGCAGGGTTGTTGCAAGTTTAAGTGAATATATACACATATCTGAATATGTATTTAAAATATATACTGTATGTATATTCACTTAAGGCATAGTATATAACAGTGTGTTCTTAATTTGATATCTATATAATACATAAACTTTAGGGAAGTTTTGTCAAACAGTAAATGCTTTTTAAATATTAACTATCATACTGCCTTATCATTTCCACCTCTAAACTACTAATAATAACAAAGTTAAATGATCTGATGGTTTTCTTTTTCTGAAGGTTCAAAGATCATAGCAAAATGACTCTCTTAAGAAGTGGAGCAAACACAAAATGAGAAGCCCTAAAACAATACATCAAGTTACCAGACAGGCTAATCACTTCCTGAATACACAACTAGCATTCTTCAGAACTGGCAGAGGGACTGTTAGTTGGGTTAATTTTTAGGAATGATGAATTGTCATGGTCCCAAGACAGGACTGATGACAGTTACAACTCCAGCTACTCATTACCCATCACAAACCCAACAGTCTTCAACAACAACAACAACAACAACAACAACAACAGCAACAACAACAACAGGAGTAAATTTCAAATAAATCAAAACAGTAGATTGCCAACTTTATAAGGACAGAGATTCGTCTAATGGTTCACTGCTGTCTCCACATGGTCCTGGCAAGTGTCTGGGTACTATTTCTTAAATAAATGTAATGAGTGAGATCGTTGCTCTGTCCTTGTGATGGGAGTAGTATTAAATGGGGAATAGTATGACACGTGTTCCTACACAGGGTTTTTCTGAGTCAGAGAAGTCTAGTGGGCTCCTCTGTGGCTCTGAGAGCAGCGGATGCAGGAGGTGAGTGTGGGCAATTTAATAAGCAATTTCAGCAATCATCGTGTTGACTCGACCTTCCCAGGAATGTGGGATGTGCGTGACACACTAAACTCAGACTACCAGGCACGGTGTCACGTTCGAAGTACAAATACCTTGCCCAGCGTCTAGCTTTACTAATTCTACTTAGATATTTTTCCCTCAAACATTTTCAGAAACCTTTCACCTGTGACAACTGTCATAAAAAAAGAAAACTTACGAGAAACCTTTGGTAGACATAGAACCTTTTGGCTGAAGAAAAGAATTAGTTGGGCCTCATCCATCTCACAGGTGCGGCTGACTATGTAACATTACTTATAATTGAACTCAGGAGATGGATGAATATAATACTATCAGAACTGTACCTCGCATCACTTGTGAATGCATTTTCTTTTCTACTTTCACAGGAACCTTTTCTTTTCTTGAAACAAAACCATCTCCCTTTTACAACACAAGGATGTGGAAGATTTAAACTCATTAAGACACGTTCTTAGTTTTCCTAATTATCTTTGTACTGAAAACTGAGAGGTTATTAGTCATCCCTGGCTGAGACACACTCCATCCTGCTTGCTCTTCTAAATACAATAAAACAACAAACACCCTCAGAATGCATTATTAATCAATTAGATATCATTTCTTAGAATGGCTTCCATCGTCTCATTTAACTTTGAAGCTTTTAGACATTAATTAATCATAAGCTGTCAAAAAGCTATCATGGATTTATACTGTGCATTACTGCATAGGCCTGACCCCAAATTCAGGGTCTGGGAGAAAAAGTGGGGGTGGGGGGACTGTTGGAGAAATATGGAGAAAAGACATCAGTTAGTAGAGAACGCAATTAGGTCTGATGTAATTAGAGGGAGAATTCAGATTCCATTTATTTCAAAGTACTGTTTCTCTATTTGAAACTCTGTGTAGAAAAAGGGTCCTCAGAGTTATAACACGATTGAAGATGGTCTAATTTCACTCAGCCCTGGGACATATAGGCTAAACAGCAAAGTTATTGCACAGTTACAAAAGTTTAGATAACACCATGGTCTGATTAATGTTAACACGCATCGTGTTTAAGGCTAGCCAACATTGGAAAGCAGTCATTTCCAAGATGGTGATCAAATATCTCAACACAGTGTCACCTGTTGGGGTTGACAGAAAGGACTTCCTCATGACAAAATGTGTTCCCGGCATATTTTCACACTTTCCAGCTTCCTCTCACCTGTGTGCTGGACAGAGGCACTTTAATATCTGTGGACTGAAGTTTCTGAAGTACAAGACACGGAGTTTCAGCCGCCACTGGTAAACATGGCAAGAAGGTAAAAGGAAATTGCATTGAAAAGAAAGTAAACAGATCATTACATCAGCAACTTGTAGAAGTCACTGTTCTCTGGTCTGAAAGCTTCCATACAAGAACAGAAAAATACGTAGCCATCACTCATCAAGGTCAAGTGAATACTACCCGTTCCTGATGTTAAGGTCGAGTGGTTTTGCTGTTTGGCCTCGTAAAGTTTAAATTGTTGATGAATTAAATATTCTAAGTTATTTTTGAGTAACATTTCAAAGTATTGAACTTTACATATAGATTCCAAGCAGTCCAGACAACTAAAATGTCAAGTATAGGTTGGAAGAGTTTAGTATAGTGTATAAAAATTAAAAGACAGAAAGCAAAACCACCTTGTTTAAAATGTGTAAAAATAAATTGCATCATTTTTCAGATTCTGATACTTTCTTTTCTTCTTTTTCTCCCCCCCCCTCTAATTTTAGTTCATTGGGACATACTGCACCCGCCACAACACATTGGACAGTAGGTCCTGGTACACACTAAGAAATAGCCAACCAGGTAAATACATCAAGGTGATGAGGCCCATGAAATTAAGTGGATAGTGAGAATAGTCCCAGGAACAGGCACCGCACATACGAAGTCCCAGACCCCAGGAAAACTCCCACGCATAGATGAAGATCACATAGATGGGTACCCGCTTCCACGTACCCCAGCCACGGCTGTAGTGAAGGTGGAAGTAGAGTTTTTCCACCACGAAGCTACAACTTCCGTACATGAAGAAAGACCAGAGGGATGTGTGTCCACTGCTGACCCCGTCTCCCTGACCCAGCACATTAAAGAAGAAGGTGAAGAAGATCTCATCCAGAAAGCCATGCATTCCGAAGAAAAGGAAGCGGAGGAGATCGGGCAGTCCTTGGGATCCTTCTATGCCCCTTGGGCCACGCGGTCCTCGTCGCTGGCCACCAGCCTCCCAAAGGATCTGGGCGTCCGGGGCTGCGGGTAGCGTGTCCCTGGTTTGCTGCTCGCACCGCCGTGGGTACCGCAAACACAGGAAGCGCTTCAGGAACACTTGGCCGTGGTAGAGCGCGAGCACGTACTGCAGCGCCAGGTCGAGCGCCCCCGGCGCCACCGCGCCCCCCGGCCAGCCGCCTAGGCTGAGCAGTAGCGCTTGGCCCGCCAGGGTCTGCAGCCCGACGTGCGCAGAGGGATAGAGCAGGAAATTGAAGAGGAAGGCGCTGGGGCAGCGCGGCCGCTGCAGGTAGAGCTGCTCCAGGGCGAAGTGGGTGAGCGAGTGCAGGAGGCAGCGGTAGGGCGAAGAGAAGCCCAGCATCCGCAGATCCAGGCTGCGGGCGAAGCGCCTGGCAGAGGACACCAGCACGTCCAGGGTGATGCCGTGCATCCCGTAGAAGTAGAGGCGCATCCAGGCTGGCAACTCGCCGCTCTCGGCCGGAGCTTCAGCAGAGGACAGCGGCTCAGGGCAGTTGGCGGCCGCCTGGCTATGCAGCCCGCTGGTGGCCCCGGGTCTCTGGGTCGCGCCGCCCCTCGGCGATGGCCCCTCACTCGCCACATCGCTGCCCGCCATGGGCTACCCGGGCGCCCGGGTCCAGCGGCCGAACCCCACACCGATTCCCGGTCCCGGGGGACGTAGGGAGGGGGGCGCAGAGAGCTTCCTTTGGATCGGGGTCTCCAGGCGCTCGGGAGACGTGCAGGTCGCCCGGGACGCGAGGAGTTCCCGTGCCGTAGCCCTGGCGCTCCCTCCTCTCCAGTCCAGGGTGAGGTGTTGCTCACCCGGGCTCGCGATCACCCTGCGCGGCCTAAGGAGTGGCGCGGCCGGGCGAGGGGTGGCGATGCCAGGGCTGTAAGGAAGAGAGTCGAGGCTGGTGGCAGCTCCATCCCCTCCGCGGCTCAGCCCCGCCGCCTCTGCGGCAGGCTCGGGGAGCGTAAGCTAGCGGAGATCGCCCTTCCCCCGGCCCTTCCCATACCCCTCTCCGCCCGGCTCGACCTCTCCCGCCTTCCCGGGCCCCCGCCCCGCCCAGCCTCCCGCGCCAGGGCTCACAGGGGTCTGCCCCGAAAGGCGCAGCGCTCCGCCTGGGTCCCCTTTGGCCATCTCTGCAGCCAGAGGCCAGTGCTGCAGGGGGCTCTCGTTGAGTTGGTGTCAAGAGTGGAGAAGCCCCTAACAGGTGTGAAGGCGAACTGTGGGGCATTCCCGGTATCGTGGAAACCAGGGCCAGGCCTTGGCTGGCGGAGACAAATGGCCCGGTGCCACCAGCCTGAGGCCGGGCCCGGGACCAAACTGTGGTGCTGTATATTTAATGTCCTTATGCAAAGCCAGCTGTGTCCCAGTCACAGCGTGTTAACCGGAGACTCCACGCCTGCCTGCCCAGAGCAGCCTGCATCTGAATGCTGTCCCTGAGCCTGATCCTCTTTGCCTAGGCTAGTTTTCTCAGGGCCAAGCCCAGCAGAATTGAAAAAAAAAAAAAAAAAAAAAAAAGGCCCGGGGGGGCTGGGTTGTGTCTTGGCTATGGTGGAATGGGGTGGGGGTGGGGGACGATGG